TGTAATGTTCCTTATACAGTTATTTTGAGGCTCCTGTTTAACCCACTGTCACCTTAATCATTAAAAAAAACCCCACAACAATAATCAAATGCAGATGTTCTTTAATGCCATCAGAAAAACTGAAAACTCATTTTACCACAGCAGCTGTTGGGAGGGGAAGCACTGAAGTCAGTCTGAGATTTGGGAAAAATAGCCCAGTGAGAATCAGGGAATGGCACTTGACAGAGATATAGCTGGTGCTCAGCAAGGCTCTAGCCCTGTGAGGGCAGTTGTTTCCAATGTCCTGGTTGAGGTGTTCAGGAGGAGCCACCAAGACTCCTTTAGTCAGAATGAACTGTGAGTCATCAGCCTAAATAAAAGGGCTTTGTTCACTGGTTTCTGTTGGCTGTCTGGCTAGGAAGTACTCATTCAAGCAGCTCTGCCAGCAATGCTGTAGAGATGAAAGTGTCCAGAACAGATGGAGGATGAACTCTCCCATCAATAGCATTTACTTTGGGTCTGTGTGCTCTAAGCTCAGAACATGGACCTAGGTTTTTTTGCTGTATCTTCCGCACAGCAACATGCTAGGCCTTTGGGGAAACTGCCATAGGCATCTGATTACTTCTGGCCTTGGTAAGAGAAACCCAAGCAGGCTGACAAACTGTGCCAATAACGCATCACTAGAGAATTAAGTTACCCTGGGGCCCAGAGTAGTGCCTAATGGAAACCAGATAAGCAGGTTACTCCTCAGGCTGGCTTGGAAATCTACCTGCTACCTCCAGTTTTGGGCTACTTTCCCACCCAGGTCATCTCTTCTAGACCTGCTGCCCCTGCCCTGCCTCCTCTATGTTCATAGGTATAAACAGCTCCATGGCTTAGTCGTACTCTGCTTGCAGTCATTGAAGGAAAAAAGTCACATTTCCCTATGGAATTTCTGAGTCACAATGATACAATTATGCTTATGGCACAGGGACAGGCAAGGGGTAAGGCTCTTCTGTACTTTCATCCCTTACCTTTGAGTAATGAATAAGTTCCCAAGCAGCAGCTGATCTTTCTTTAACCTGAAGGGTGCAGTTTATACAAGCTTGTGCTCATTTCACACCAGACATTGTAATCTTTACATCTGCAGGGACAGTTGATGTTTGGCAAAGCAGAATGGATGTATAGGGTTGTAAAAAAGATGAGTGATCCAACCTAAGCAGTGCTCTGTTCCGCTTTTTCATGTCAGCTTCTTACCCACGCTAAAGCTAATCTGAGCAGAACCTCCAGCAGATGAGACCTGCAGTTGTGGCAGAACCTGAAAGCTTGGGTGAAAAGCTGGCCTAGCCAACAGCCCTGCATCTATGACCCAAGGCCACACATTCTTTTCTAGCAGAGCCTAATTAAATGGGCACTTAGCCACGGAAATTCTGCTGGATTCCTGACAGCAGAACACCACCAGAAGAGCATGCACCAGTGTTGACAGCAACTCTTCGCAATACTTCCTTACTATAAGCCTTGACTTTTAGATGCCCTATCATTTATTCAAAAAAGGCATATATGAAAGGCTGAACAAAGTCCTCTTCTTAACTTTTGATTTATAAGGGCTGATAATATTTCCCACCTTCAAAAACAGCATCCATTTTCTCCTATACATGTTCCTTCCTAAGACTAAAACTAAAACTGTGTGAACTCTGAAATCTGACAAGTAAAGAACAATATGATGAAATAAAGTCAGTGTTTTGACATGTTTGTTTGCTTTCAGTGAACAGTTTTAGAATAAGGAGCTGAGGGGTGGGTATGGAGAAGAAAAACTTTTCACCATAGTGTTCACAGATGAGTACAGCAGCAGAGAGCTGGGTGAGGACATGTTTGTCTCTACTCTCCCCATGCTCTGGGACTGGTTTACTGATTAACTTGAAACATTTAACATCTGCAGTCCATTAGGGAGCAGACTGCAGCAAGTGGTATCCTACAGAGACTGAAAAAATGACATTTAAAAAAATTTACAAAATATATGAAGTTAAAAAAACCCCACATCCAAAACAGGGGGGTTTACCATCACCTTTAATAGCCTGAATCCCTCATGGCACAGGGGCAGCAGTCCCCATGGCAGCAGAAATATGAGCAGGGACTGCCCTATTACTGGAAGAGATTGAGACCAAACCATGCTTTCACTGTGCCGAGGTTCCGTGGCACTAAACATCAAGCCCTTGACAAGGTGGAGTGAATTGAAACACTGAAGATTTTCTCCTTGAACAAAATGAGCTAAAAACCTTAATTGTGGCACTGCACACAAAATTTTGATTTCAGGTATGTGACAGAAAGCAGCATGGGAAGACCTCATGACAATGCGCTTATAATCCATGGGATTTCTCATCACACCTGATAGCAGCCACCACCACCCACTGGTTGGACCACACAAAGGATCAGGTTTCCTGGCTGCACATACTCGCCACCTGCATTTATGGCCCTTGACAGGCTGTGATATATTGTCATGGGACAAAAGGCCACCGATCCATCTGAAGGGGCTGTCAACATTTTAAACCTCAAATACAGAGCCGAAATGATTTATTGCCACAGCCCACAAAATAAAACAATCTCTTGAGCCAGCAATAACTCTGAGTTTATTAAGAGACAGGCAAAGGAGGAAAAAGAAGCAGAAGTGAAATGAATTTCCATCTTCAGCTCAACTTCTGCCCTTGAACAACTACACATAGTGACTACACACAGCAGCCATGTGAAATACTGAGTTATGGAAGAAATATCACATCCGAGGTTTCATTGACTGTTCTCGCCCAGCTGTTTTCTCCTCCTCTGATGCAAAGACAGACCCAGACTAATATTATAGATTATAAGCAAAACTGATATTGAAAAATGTTTTTGTCCATAAACAACAATATTGGAAATAAACAACCTTTGAGAAGTGCTGAGGGAAATAAAAAAGTGTTAAACTAAGGCAATTATATGCACTTTCTGTTAAACAGACAAAGCTCACGTGTGGTGGTTTCTTACATCCATTACTCCAGCAAACCAGAAAATATTATGATAATATTAGTTTGTCAGGAAATACTTCAGGTAACTAAGTACATATTTCATCAGATTTTACTGCATCACTAAACACACCTGTGCCCTATGACAAACAACACAGTGCTGACACAGGGAAGGCTATGCAAGCACAGGATTCTGTGTTGCTGATTTCAGAGGTGCAGTTCCTCAAGCAGTGTCAACTGAGCTACATCTGTGCTGATGCCAAAGAGAAGTCCTACCTCCAAAATTTTTCTCCCATGGCCACACGTTCCCCCTTCTAACCTCATGCCGACAGCCAGTACCAATTAAGCTGATCAAGGACCTGGCAGGAGAATAACCCCAATAAAAAAAAAACAAACAAAAAAAACCAAAAAACCCCAAGGAAATGTAATGCCATGACAAGGAGTCATTATACTGCACAGCCATGTGGACACAGCGACTCTAACTTCTTCCAGGGAACTATGTGATTACAGACATGGTTTATGTGTATGTCAGATTTGCTCCTCCCACGTGGATGTCTCTGATTCTCACAGGGCACTCGGCAACAGTACTGGCAGCCGTCTCGAGACCCTCATATCTAGGCATTTGTAAAAGGAGATGTCACTCTTTCACCTCCTGCTGGTTCATGGGGCTGAAAAATATTCCCCTAAAAGCAATTCACATTGGCTTTCCTGGGATGTTTATGGGCAGGTTATGAGCTGGTATGATTATGGTCTCCTGTAGAGGCAGAAAACAAAGAGCTCCCCTTCAAACCAAACCAAGAGAATGAAATGGCCTCAATGAAATAGGAAAGGGAAGAGACCCTGGGTGAAGATCTGAAACTGGGCTGATCCACTGAATTACAGCCATGAATTACTGGAAATCAAGGGAGGAAATGGTTTCTGCTATTTCCAAAAATGTGAAATATGAAAATGGAGATGTACAGAAGAATTTTACTTTGGGTAAGATGAAGGTTGGCAGCAACATATGGCCCATAGTTACCCATTACATTCTCCAAAGCCTCAATTCATGTAAATGGAAATATAGAAAATCAGTCTCATCTCCAGGTACCCAAGCAACACTAAAATATGATTCATTTTGCAAGCAAATTGATAATCTCACCATCACGTGCAGGTGGGTGTCCCCACCTGAAAGGGAGTTCCCTGTTGCTGCCTTCCTCTAGAAGCTCTGCAAACACTCCCAACTCCGGGGCACTGACTCCCCAACCCACAGTAACCCTTGGCTCCACACCATTGTCTCTCATAAGAGATTTCAGCTCTGGTCCCTGGAAGCACCGTCACCAGCCATCAGCCAGGAGTCCTGCTGCTCCAGAGACCTGAGCACAGGAATTCACAGGTTCCCTTCCCTCTGAGAACACGGAGCTGATAAATGCCTTCTGCCATCTGGAATCCACCCAGCAGCAAATGTAGAATCCAGAGGGGAAAGTTTTAGGGACCTTCCCTGGGCTATGAGCTGCTACTGGGCAGCTTACAGAGGGAAGGGAAGCAAGCCATTTTATGCACAATTTATACTAATACTTTGAATTGTAGAAAAGGGGTTCCTCTTGTACAACTAAAACAAAGAATGAGTATCCTCCCATGCCCTTAATCTGTGAGGCAAAAAGCAGGGAAAAGGTAAGTGATTTAATCAACCTCCAATTCATTTTTATTGCTAGCAGATGCTACAGCTTGCTAGTTCTCAGGGGTCACTTCAGCCTCTCTTTTACAGTTGCCCAAATACAGCACTGTCAGCACTGACAGTGACAGAAACACTGATGACGAAAGCCAGCGATGCTCTGGCACAGATCAGCACAGCTCTCTGCCCGGCTTGTGCTCAGAAGGGGTTGCCTGGAAGCGATGCCGGAGCAGTGTGGGCTAAACAACGGGGTGAAGAGGGACCAGCTGTCAGCAGCGAACAGGTGCTGGAAGGGGGCTCTTCAGAGGATAGTGGGGAGAGGCTGAGATGATTATCCCACTCTCCCCAAGTTCACCTGCTCCTAAGCCCCATCTTGGTTCTGCACGGTGGGCACTTACCTTGTGTGTGCTGTACCAGGGGCCAGAGAGGGGCTCGCTTCCAGTGCCCGGCCCTCCGAAGGACACATTCCGGGATGCCCACTCTGAAACAGAAAGGATGCCCATGTCCCTGACCTCAGACCCTGGCCACTGACCGTGCCATGTGCTGTTGCACTGGTGGGGACGGGTGACTGTGAGGAGAGGTGGGCAGGACCTGGACGTGGCACTCGCTTCCTGGTGTGGGTAAGGCAGCTCGCATGGGTCCCTCCTCACCAAGGTGTGTGCAACTGAGTGCTGCGGCTTGATAGTGGACACTGGGGGACCCTCAGCTGGGGAGTATTTGTAGCACAGGACAGGAAGAACAACTTGACAGAAGGTTTTGCTGCTCCTTCCCAGGACATTCAGGTGCCTTTTATTTTCTTCTCTCCAACTTCCCCAATGCCCCACCCTGCTCTGAAAAGGCAGCCTGGGTATTTAACTCCTTCAAAACAGTGCTTAAATCTAACAGTCAATTATTAATTTTTCATTGCAAGATTGCAAGAATTGGAAGTAGTAGTTTGCACATACCTGTAGTCACTTGCATAAATTCTCACTTATGTCACATATTCTTCACTTGTAAGTATTTCTTTAATGGTTTCTTTGCAGAGATTTCAGGCAATGAGTTAGTTTCCAGGCTGTGGCTTTATCCAATCATTCTGTTAGTTTTGTTCTGATCACTTAAGCTCTACTGAGGAAAACAACAACTTAAAAAGATTCTTAAAAGGGAGAGTAGGAGCTAGCAAGGTAGGAACTTGGAAGAACTACATGGGAGACAAAAATTGGCTTCTAGAGAACAAAAAGGAAAAATTAAGCCACTGCACCTTCAAGCTCTGGACAAGACAACTGTTTTCAGTGCAGAGTGTTCATACTGTACCTAGGAAATATTTGATTGTATAGGTTTATCCTGCTTGAAAATGTCCGAAGTCCTGATGGTGGAACACCCAATGGTCAGCAGAGTTATTACAGAATCACAGAATTACAGAATTGTTGAGGCTGAAAAAGCCCTCTGAGATCATCAAGTCCAGCCTATGACCCAACACCACCACATCAGCCAGACCACGGCACTAAGT